TTTAGTATTCCCACCTGCCATTTTTAGCAATTTCCTAACACTCCCCTCCCAGGCCAAACTGCAGGACCTTGGTGGTGGGTGGGCGCCGCTGGTTTGGGGGCGTTTTCCTTTGTGCTTTTGTCCCTGTGGGGGGCAGCCCTCCAGCCTCCAGCAGAGCCATGCCCAAGGTGCCACATTCCCGAGGAAGCACCCCAAGAGGCCTCTTCCGGGAAGGATCCCTGTTGCCCAGATTTCCTGAGGGGCTGTCTCCATGAGCACTCACCCTCCTCACCATAGAGGCGCCCTGGCACTATTCACACCTACTGAGCGAACAGTGTGCAGTCCTTCCACTTTTATTTCCACCTGCATTGCCCTGTCTTTTAAGTAAAAAAAAAAAAAACAAAAAAAAAACTTTCAATTAAAATGGTCCTTCACACTTGATTTTTCCAGTGACATCTCAAATGTTCCTTCCCCATCACTATGAAAATATCTAGCTCTCTACCGCTCATCAGCCCCATTTAAAAATAAATAAATAAATAAATAAATAAATAAATAAATAAATAAATAGCAATCCTATGCAAAACCAAATTCCCATCTGGGCCCAGGGTGCCTCCCCTCCCCCAATCAGTCCAGTGCCTTGCTTTCAAACTTGGGAGTTGGAAGATGATGGGCTCAAGTTCGCTTCCCCGAGTTAGAAGTCTGCTGGATCCTCACCCCTAATCGTTCATTACTTCACGTTTCCCATAAATAGCATCAGTTCTCCATAGGGTCATGTTCATGGTCAGTAAGGAGTGGTGGGTTCATTTTTACCCGCTGGTAGTTAAAAGCCCCATCGGAAGCGCTTTTCCCTGCAGGAATCCCTCTTCCTCCCGCCCCTCGGCAGCCCGACTGCAGGAATTCTGAGGAGCTGTCTGCAAACTGATATTCAGGAGCCTCAGGATCCCCTTCCCCCCCCCCCCCCCCCCAACCCCAAACCTTGAATTTCGGATGCCCCTGCCCCCACCCCCATCCCCACCCCCACCCTCACCCCCAGCCCGAAGCGGTCAGCCTGGCGCGGTGATCTCAGTGGCCAGTAGAGGGCACACTTACGTTAACTTTCGCAAACCCAAGCTTCAGGGCAGGCGGGAGAGGGGGGGAGGGGGGAAGGGAGGAGGGGGCGGGGAAATACTTTGCAGCAAAACCACCGCCGGGGATTGGTCGCTCCCGGCGTTTGCGGCAAAGGCTGGAGCAATTTGCAATCCTTAAAGCCGAATTGTGCTGAGCGCCTGATTTGGAGGAAGTGGCTACTCATTCAACAATCAAACGCCGAGCTGCAAGCTCAATGGCTAATAATTTACCTTGAATTGCAAACACGCCGTGCGCGCGAACCCCCCTCCGAATTTTTTTTTTTTCTTCTGTTTTGGAATGGAAGGGGGTGAGTGGGGTGAGAGGTGGAAAAGTTTACTTAAAATGCCTTTTTTGGGTGGGGGTGGGGGGGATGAAATAGTGCCAAATCGCAAATTCGGAGCCAAGGTGCATTAAATATTAAATACAGATCCGTTCAGACAGAGAACAAATTGTATGTCGCGTTTTGTTCAGGGTCGAATTGTACATGAAATGCACACACGGTAGATGTACGCGGGTTGTACATGCGAACTTTCACTAAGGCATGCAGAACAGAAAATGTGGGGGTCACTGAACTAGGAAATGACTCCTGCCTGAAATTCGGCCAATTTTTAATGGGCTCAGGCCCCCACCCCCACCCCAAGGGCAGGGGAATGACACTGGGCTCCTCTCCTCTGATCAGAACCAATGCATTATTTCGCGGGCGATCAGGATTCCAATAATAAAGGGCACAGGAGGCTGGGGAAGGAAGTTACACGTCCGGTTGGTCCAAGGAGGAAAGAGTTAACGGTTTCCCTCCCTGGAGTCTCTCTCCTGGTACCCCAGGCAGGGTCTGCGAGCTCGCCTCTTCTCCCCAACCCCCCTTTCCCTTCTGGGGGGTCCGGTCTCGCGGCTCTGGCTGCCCCTCCCCACTATTCTCCCGTCTGGCGCCTCTGATTTCCCCCAAACCTGGGAGCCCTGCCCTGGACCGGTGCTGCGAGCCTGAGCCACGGGCGCCAATGGGATTTTCCTGAAGCCTGGCTGCGGCATTGCAACTCCGAGGGGCGCGGGGGTGCCGGGGGGGCGAGGGGGGGGACACTCATGCTTGCTGTCCACACAGAAGGCATACCCCCTCCGCCCCCCAATGCAATGGGCATCTGTCCCTAACGCGCGCCCCCAGCAGACGTGGCAGTGCGCTGCGGGGTTATCTTCACGATCCCGGGCATCCATCCTTTTCCCTCCCTCTGTCCCCTATCGCCTGGCCCTGTGGACGCTGACACCTCGCACCCACGCGGCGCACGCCCGTGGACACCCTTTCTCTCGTCCTCCCTTCGCAGGACTTAGCCCAAGAGCTGCCCTTCCCCAGCCGCGGGGACGCGCCTGCCGGGGCCGGGGCCGTGGCCGTGGCCGTGGCCGTGGGCTGGGTTCCCGGGGTCGGGAGCTCGGCTGTTCGGCCCGGGAGGATGGGAGCTCGCGGGCCGGGGGAGCGGCGGGTCCAACCCGAGGAGCCGCCGAGAAAGGGAGCGAGCGGGTCTGAAAATGGAAGGCGCGCCGGGCGAATGCCTGCGGAGACCTCCTCTATTCCCATCCGATCCCTGCGCGCACCCGAGCGCCGGGCTTCCAGCTCAGTCTCCTCCCCAGCCCTCCTTCCTCCGCACCATCGCCCCTCCCGGATTCCCAAAGCTGGGGAGGGGGGAGAGGGGGAAAAAAGATCCTCGCTCGCGAGTCCCCGCCCACCGGCCCTTTATAGGCGAGGGTCTGCCCCGCCGAGAGCCCCCGGCTGCGCTCCTCGCGCTGCCGCAGCCGCCGCGGCTCCCGGTCCCCGGCCGCCTGCCTCCCTGCCTCCCTCCCCGCCGCCTCGGCAAGGGCAGGGCTACTCCGAGGCTTGGCGGGAAAAAGGACTGGGAGGGATCGAAACCCCCATTATAAAAGAGCCTGCTCAGCGGAGGACTCGCTGTAGTAATCCCAGCGAGAGGCAGAGGGAGCGAGCGGGCGCGCCAGCAGCCGGAGGGGCACCCAGCGAAGCCGAGCGTCAGAGCGCGCTCCCTCCGGGCGCCCGGGGCTGAGATCGGAGGGAAAGCGGGGCTTCACCTCCTCCAACCCACCCGGCCCGCCGACCCCTGGCTGCCGGAGAGACCCGCAGCCCTCCGCCACAGCCACGAAAACTTTGCCGATCGCCGCGGGCGGGCGCTTTCCCCTGGAACTTACAACAGCCCGGCGAGAGGACGCGGCCGGCTCTCCCAGGAGCCGGGGACCTTCTCTTTGGGGGGACCCTTCTCCGGGCCGCAGCCTGCGCCCCGCTCCCCCGAAGAGCGCTCCTGGCCCCCGGTGGGAACCTGGATCTCCTCCGGAGAGTGGCAAACCCGGTAAGCCCTCGGATCGACTTGTCTTTTTTTAATGAATTTCTTTCTTTTTCCTAACCGCTTTATGGATGGGATGCGTCCACGGCCCGAGTTTCCTGGGGTGTCTCTTCTCTCCCGTTCCGGGATGATGGACACTTTCTCTCGGAGGAGTGGTGGTGGGTGGCAGGTCGGGGTGGGGTGGGGACCGAAGGCGAACTGGATGTGGGGTACATACCGTGAGTTGTCAAGATGGGGAGGAGAGAAGCAGAGGGAAAACGGGTGTGCGTCTTTTTGTGTTTGTTTTTGAGCCTTTGGAGGTTTTCGCCTATGGATACTGACGCAGAGCCCAGCGGGCTGGACATTGCTGCTTTTATTGCATTCATTGCTTTGGGGTGGTTTTTTTTTTTTTTGGGGGGGGGGCCGCTGTGCTTCGTGGAGCGCAGAAAGCCCTTTGCATCCTGAGCTCCTTGGAGGAAGGATTGCTCTCCTTCTGTGTGCTCGGGAGAGAGCGCCGCAGCCGCCGACTTCCCCGGCTCCGAAAGGGCATTTAAATTTCGGCTTTTTTTTTCACTGCGTTTCTGACAGCCCGAGCCACTGCGGCGCGTCCAGCCCGCCGGTTCCCCCGGCGTTCCCAATCCGCCCCCGCCCCTTCTCCTAAGTGGACACTTGGCTCCTAAGGAGAATAAAATTGAAATGTCCTGGCGCGCCTGCCCGGCTGTTCGGACTCGGGGTTGGGGAGGCGCGGGCGGCGGGGAGGGAAGGAGGCTCGGGGGCAGGGACGGGTCCGGTTCTCCTGGACGCACTGACTTAGAAAACGGGGGGCAAAGGTCCGCACCCGGCCGGGGTCCCCGCGCCCCGGAGACGCAGGGGGGCCGCGGAGCCGGGCGCTCCCCGAACAGCTGCTCCCCGGGCGGCGGGAGGGGAGGGAGGGCGCCCCGCTCCGGGCGCGGGGTCGCTGGCGCAGTTGCGTGGCCGTATGGGGCGTTGAAGGGAGGCGCCTCTGGTATTCTCCAGTGCACCCCTTTTATTTATTGGGGGGTGGCGGGGGGTGTTAAAGCCCGCGGCGGGGCTCGGCGCACCAGCCGGCGGCGAGGGAAGAGAAGAAAAGCTGGCAGAGGAGGGAGGGAGGAGGGCGCTGGGGGTGGGGATGGAGGAGGAGGAGGAGGAGAGGGAGGCTGGGAGGGGCGGAGGCGCCCGCTCCCGCCGCCGCAGCGCCCCTCGCCTCCTCCTCCAGGTGCCCCCAAACTTTTGGGGTTTGGGCACAGTACGTTCCCCGCCGCCGCCTCCCCCGGCCCCTTCTCGGGGCCGGAGCCCGTGTCCATTGCTCTCCGCTGCGGCGCCGGACCCCGGGCTGGGCGCGCGGGGCTCCCGGGGAACAAAAGTCCCGCTGGCGCCCCGCGGCTGGCTCCCCAAATAGGGGATGTCTCCCGGAGGGGGTGCAAGGGCGCTCCTTTGACCTCCGACCCCCCGCCGCTCCAGCCACCGGCCCGTTTTGGGGGGATGGGGATCGCGCCGGGGCTTGGGGGGATGAGGCCCCCGCCTAGACGCCCCCCTTTAACTCAAGATCGGCCCCCCCTTTGTGTGCAGGCCGCCGCGATGCCCCTCAACGTCAGCTTCGCCGCCAACAGGAACTACGACCTGGACTACGACTCGATGCAGCCCTACTTCTTCTGCGACGAGGAGGAGAACTTCTACCACCAGCAGCAGCAGAGCGAGCTGCAGCCGCCCGCGCCCAGCGAGGACATCTGGAAGAAGTTCGAGCTGCTGCCCACGCCGCCGCTGTCGCCCAGCCGCCGCTCCGGCCTCTGCTCGCCCTCCTACGTGGCCTTCGCGTCCTTCTCGCCGCGGGAGGTGGACGCCGGCGGCGGCGGCGGCGGCAGCTTCTCCACCGCCGACCAGCTGGAGATGGTGACCGAGCTGCTGGGCGGGGACATGGTGAACCAGAGCTTCATCTGCGACCCGGACGACGAGACCTTCATCAAGAACATCATCATCCAGGACTGCATGTGGAGCGGCTTCTCGGCCGCCGCCAAGCTCGTGTCCGAGAAGCTGGCCTCCTACCAGGCTGCGCGCAAGGACGGCGGCGGCGGCGGCATCGGCGGCCGGAGCCCCGCCCGCGGGCAGGGCGCCTGCTCCTCCTCCAGCCTCTACCTGCAGGACCTGAGCGCCGCCGCCTCCGAGTGCATCGACCCGTCCGTGGTCTTCCCCTACCCGCTGCACGACGGCAGCTCGCCCAAGCCCTGCGCCTCCCCGGACTCCTCCGCCTTCTCCCCGTCCTCGGACTCTCTGCTCTCCTCCACCGACTCCTCCCCGCGGGCCAGCCCCGAGCCCCTGGCGCTCCACGAGGAGACCCCGCCCACCACCAGCAGCGACTCCGGTGAGGGGGGCCCCCCCGCAGCCTGACAGAGTGGGAGGGGGGCGTCCGGCTGTCTTCAATGGCAGGTCTGGGAGCTCCATCATCCCAGAAGCACTGGGCTTTCCTGTTCCCTCCCCTCCCTTCTCGCCCCTTCCCCTTCCTTCTACTCAGACCGCCCTAGTGGCCAGCCCCTCCCCTCCCCTCCCACCCCTCAGGAATTTCATTGGGATTTTAAATCTTCCTGGTTTATCTTGCAACTCAATCCACTCCCTCTTACCTTTCTTAAGCATTTTAATTGCCCCGGGGAGGGGGGTGGGGAGAAGGGGGAAGTGTGAATGAGATTAAGAGGATTGATGTCTTTGAGAGGGAAAGAATAGCCTCCTCTCCCTTTCGGGAAGTGCTGGAATGTGATGGCAGTGGATGGGGAGAGGGGCGGTGGGCCCAGGCCTGCGGGCAAGTCCCCACCTGGGGCTGCGGAAGAGTGAAAGTGCCTCAGAGCCAGGGAGCCAGAGAGCTGAGGACTTGGATGCTGCCCCTTGTTTGAACATTTAAAAAGCGGCTCCTTTCCCAAATTGAACTTTCTCCCTGCCCCCATCCCCTAGGGCTTTTGGCAAAGCTGCAAGACTTTTTTTTCCCCCTTTTTCTTTTCAAACTTCCCGTAAAAATAGGGAGTTGCTAAGTTCACACCTAGAGATTTGCAGCTCTCTCCTTTGCAACACGGGTGCGTGCTCAGTAAAGTCCCTTAAAAATAGGAGGTGCTTGGGAATGTGCTTGGCGCTGGGTGTGTCCAGGGCCTCATTAAGTCTTAGGTAAGAATTGGCACCCGGGCCGCCTCCTGGGTAGATGGTAATTTTCTTAACCTGTGCCATAAACCCAGCTGTCCTCCATCCCGCCTTCCTTCCGCGGGAGGGGAGGATTGGCTAGCTGGTTCTCCGGGGACACCTTTGGTCCTTCCCCACCCCAATCAACGCCTTCTGTGTCCATCACTGAAACACGGAGATGCTGTCGCTAACCGGCTGGCTTCTGTGTCCTTTCTTGCAGAGGAGGAGCAAGAGGACGAGGAAGAGATCGACGTGGTTTCTGTGGAAAAGCGGCAGCCCTCGGCCCGAAGGTCGGAGTCGGGGTCCCCGTCTCCCAGAGGTCACGGCAGGCCGCCCCACAGCCCGCTGGTGCTGAAGCGGTGCCACGTGTCCACCCACCAGCACAACTACGCGGCGCCCCCCTCCACCAGGAAGGACTATCCGGCCGCCAAGAGGGCCAAGTTGGACAGTGGCCGCGTCCTCAAGCAGATCAGCAACAACCGCCGGTGCGCCAGCCCCCGGTCCTCGGACACGGAGGAGAACGACAAGCGGCGGACGCACAACGTCCTGGAGCGCCAGCGGAGGAACGAGCTGAAGCGCAGCTTCTTCGCGCTGCGCGACCAGATCCCCGAGTTGGAAAACAACGAGAAGGCCCCCAAGGTCGTGATCCTCAAGAAAGCCACGGCCTACATCCTGGCCGTCCAGGCCGAGGAGCAGAAGCTCCTGTCCGAGAAGGACTTCTTGCGGAAACGGCGGGAACAGTTGAAACACAAACTCGAGCAGCTGCGGAACTCTTGTGCATAGAACTTGACCTCCGGGAGGGAGGAGGGGACTGGGGTTCGAAGGGAAAAGGACGGGAGAAGGTCCTTGCAGAAGTCATTGGACACGTGAGCTCGTTGCAACTGCATGGTCAAGTGCAAACCGCACAACCGTGGCTGGGTCTTCAGACTGAAAGGTTTAGCCATAATGTAAACTGCCTCAAATGGAACTTTGGGCATAAAAGAACAGTTTTTATGCTTGCCATCCTTTTTCTTTTTTTTTTCTTCCCCTTTAACAGGTTTGTATTTAAGAATTTTTTTTTAATTTCAAGTTTACCCCGTTTTTATCCATGTACATACACCCAATCATTTAATGTAAATAACTTTAATAAGACGTTTATAGCATTTATGCAAAATTACAAATGTATTATAAAACAATTTTTTTTATTTAAATATATGTTCCTTTTTATCGTTGATTTTTTTTATTGTTTTTAGAAAAAAATAAAATATCAGGCAAATATATATCATGAGCCAAATCTTTAAAGTTTGTGAGTGTTTTGTTTCTTGTTTTCATCGTTCTCTTGGTCATCAGTGACCGAGGAAGGGAATCTGGCCCTTCAGGGAGTGAGCTTACAAAAATGGGAGAAGACATGACTCAAGAAGGGACAGGGGCTTGGTTAATGGGGTCTGGGGCCTTTAAGGCCTTGAACTTACCAGGGTTATGAGATGCTGCCTGAGGTGGGTGATAAGGCCAGAGTTGATCCTTGAAACAAAGGGCTGGGCAGTAAGCTGGTGAGCCAGTGCTCTTAGGGACCAAGGGGTGCTAGAGAGATTAAAGAGAACAGTTAAGTAGACCAGGGTGAGGTAAGGACTGGGGGTTGGGAGGAAGATTAGGAAGAATTCCTGTTAACTCTGATTAACCCATGCCATCCCCCTGTTCCATTCTAGCCCAGGGGTCCTGCCCCGTGGAAGGGGGGAGAGCAAAGAAACCAAATGGTGCTGTTTGCCTACTGCTACCAGGTGCCAGGCCCTCTGCATGGGCTATGGCAAGCCCCAGAGGAGCGCTGGGAGGCATGTTATTCACCTTCATTGTCCAAGCATGGGGACAATAGGGGCACAGGGAGGCCAGGAAACGTCTCTGTGGCCACAAGGGAAATAAAAGGCGGCTTCCAAGTCCCACTCATCACTGGACTGGCGCCTTAGCTCATCCTAAAGTGTGAGGTCAGAAATTCAGATAATGCATGGTCAACCTGCAGACTGAAGGGTTCCAGGTTCAATTCCGGTCAAGGGCACATGCCTGGGCTGTGGGCTCCATCCCCAGGGTGGGGGAGGGGGCAGGGGGGAGGGGGGCAGGGGGAATGCAGGAGGCAGCTAATCAATGCTTCTCCTCATTAATGCTTCTATCTCCCCCCCTTCCTCTCTGAAATCAATAAAAATAAGTAAATCAATCCTTCTAAAAAAAAAAAATGCTTGTGGTTGGCAGCCAGATGGACTGCTAAGTAAGAGCTAAACTTGTGCGCCAGGCATTCTAAGCATTTTCCTTATACAACTCCACAGCAGCTCTGAAGGCGATACTGCTGATTTCCCTATGAGAAGGGGAAACAGGCACAGGAAGACCCCCACCCCCACCCCCACCCTATCCTGATCTGTGTTGCAAAGTTCCACCGATAATGAAGAGTAGAACTGCCAGGATTCACACCCAGACGGTCCCCTCACAGACTCTCCCAGAGGCCAGAAGGAACACACGGGCCACCCAGGAGGACAGGAGTCACCCATGGAATGGATTCTGTCTTCAGTGTCAACACACAGACCCTGTCTGACATCGCTTCCGATTTTTTTTTGTTTTGTTTTGTTTATTTTGCTGCCCATTGTTTAATTTTTTCCTTTGGCATGGAGAAGTCCAGAACTCACGGTCCATTTCACCATTTGCCTCGGGGAAGCTGCCAGTGTGACCCTGCTACTGTTCAGGTCATAAAATAAAATTACTCTTTGTGTGAGTCATTATTTTGGAAACGAGAGACTCCCAACCTCTTTCACAAACGGATAATCATGACACATGCTCGTCACCGGGACATGAAAAGACACTTCTGACTGCAGATATTATTAATTATAAGCCTTTGAATGCCCACAGCCCAAACCAGAAACTTGAACGCTGGCCACGTACCAGCAGGTAAGTGGGAGCTGCTATCGCCCGTTCTAATTATCTCATTGTCTGGGCCTCGGAGGAATCTTCAGATTCCCGTCCTCTTTGGGATTTTAATCCACCACCACCCATTCATCAATAGCTAATTACCGTCTTTGTCTCTGGCCCCTAGGATAATTTAATCCAGCCCTTAATGTCTTTTTCTTGATCTTTTATTTCAGGTTCTCACCGCCGCAAGCTGTCACACCCTGTGTCCTCAATTCAAAGGGAGATAGAATCCACAGAATTCTGGTTCAAAGGTCACAATACGGTGGATGGGGGGTTGGGGGGAGTGGGGCAGAGACGACAACCTTAAATGGTTCATTCTGCCCCTTTGTGGCTGGACAGCGGCCCTGGAGTGACTCACGTGGGAACCCAGGTAAGCTGAGGGAGAAGGTGTGAGTCTGAGTCACTAAACCAGGCGAGCCCAGGGACCAGCAGAGTGCTCCTCAGTAGGAAAACCCTCTCTCAACTTCAGGGGTGCAGAGCTGGGCCATGGGGGCGGCAGGGGAACTAGGGCTCACGTCCTAGGGTTAGGAAGTCAGGGGGGCGGTCTTTCCATAAAGTCAGGCAGATCTTGACCCTGACACACATGGGTCCTCTGAACTAATCTAGAGAGTTGTGCCATTGTGGGATCTATTTTATAGATTAAACAAAGGATCAAGAAATGGTGAGGGAAGGGAGGAGCTTGTCATTGGGTTGGAATACACCAGAAAGAGTAAGCTAATGCTTACGTTGGCTTTTCCCTAAGACACGCAGGAATTAATGGCCATCCCATGGGATTCCCAGCGTGGTTTTGTTTAGGGATGAAATGTGTAAAAGAGGAAGGAAGTTTTATTTTTGTTGTTAATCCTCACCCAAGGATATTTTTCCATTGATTTTTGGGGGGTTGGAGGGAGGGAAAAGAGTGAGAGAGAGAGAGAAAACATTGATGTGAGAAGGACACATCAATTGATTGCTTCTCTTAACTCACCTTGATCAGGGCCAGGGATCAGGTGCATGCCCTTGACAGGAATCAAACCCGGGACCCTTCAGTCCACAGGCCAGTGCTCCACCACTGAGCCAAACCGGTTAGAACAGAGTGTTATTTTATGCTTCCATTTGGAAGCAACCAAAGAGATCCAGATTATAAAAATAATCAAATGTTTAAATGAACAAGGTTTCCACACCCCGGCTCTAATATGTTGGCCTCACAGCTGGGATATGTAAGTAGTTACACGTCTCTGCGGGTCTTTAAGACAAATTGGCCCAGAGCTTGGGAAAGAGGACAAAAAAAAAGTTGTGTTTGGGGGTTTTCTGAGGTTGGTTTGCCATAGCCTGTCTATGATAATTTTTAGTATACCCACTAAGGACTCTCCAAGCATTTCTTCCCAACAATAAATAACGCTGAGGTCAGAGAGTGCTGACGGGTGTCCCCCAACACCATCTACCATCGCACTGGTAGCTTTACAAAAAAGGCTTCCTGCCGAGACCGGTTTGGCTCAATGGATAGAACGTCGGCTTGAGGACTGAAGGGTCTCGGGTTCGATTCCGGTCAAGGGCATGTACCTTGGTTGCGGGCATATCCCCAGTAGGGGGTGTGCAAGAGGCAGTTGATCGATGACTCTCTCTCATCAATGTTTCTAACTCTCTATCTCTCTCCCTTCCTCCCTGTACAAAATCAATAAAATATATTAAAAAAAAAAAGGCTTCCTCTTTAAGGGTATGGACCATGACAGGTCTATTTCAAAGGAGACGGGTAGAAACTGGCTCACAGGAGGAGAACAGGGAGCCATTGAGAAAAATAAAATAAAACGAAAAAGACTACCACCCACCAGGAAGGCTGAGGCAGGAATCTTTCTCTATTCTAGACCCTTTGGGGGAGAATTCAGACTAGTTCCAAAGTTAGAGGCAATATCCAGGAATGGTAGGCTTTCCCAAACTGGTTTGAGGTGACTCTACACGGTTCTGCGTTGATTTCACACTTTGTCCTTAATTGTATTTCTTTCAATATTAGCCGAAGCTAATCTCTTCAGGAAGACACAGTGCAAGGGAATGAGTGCTAATGGGATGTAGATCCTCCTAAGGTTAAAAGGAATGTTCTTTGTTTCGAAACAATGCCTGAGAGTTCAGCCACCATTCCCAACACTTTCTACCCATTGTCACCTCCACAGCCCCTCTGGGAATGAAACACTCGGGTGCGGTCAGGGGTGGGGGGGTGGGGGGGGTGGGGGAAATAGGGAGAGCTAGGGGAGAGACAATTAGCCTTTATTACACACTCACTATCTGCCAGACCCTCCCGGCAGCCCAGCGGGGGAGTGATTGTTGAATGTGGCAGTACTGAAGTTTAGGCAAGTTCAACAGCTCCCCTGAAGTCACACAAGGACCCACAATCAAAGCCACAATGATGGCAGTTAATGTTTACTATGTGCTAAACACTTCACAGGCATTATCGTATTTTTTATTCCCAAAGCAACTCTTAGGAGGGAGAGGCTATTTCTAATCCCAGGATTCATAGAAAGAGATTGAAGCTTGGAGAGATTAAGTCATTCGCCTGCCTTCACAGAGCTGGCCGCCTGGTGAGGAATGATTACCCAGTTGCTCATAAATAGTTATTGAAGACCTACTGTGTGCCCCACACCGTGCTGGGTTTGGGGAGACATTGTTAAGATCAAGGTGATGGGTAAGGTCCTAGCCCTGTGGACTGTAGGAGAACGGAGAAGGACCAGCACTTACACTCCGTTATTTGGCAAACACGTTGAGTGTTTCCTACGTGGCTGAGGAGGGTGGCAGCTCTGAGAACTGCTGAAGACCCCCCCCCCACCCCGAAAATGAATCAAAGTCAGCACTCAGGAAATGCTGGTGGAGGAGCAAAGGGAAAGACC